ACAAACAGTCAGGACTAAGGCGCTCTGTTGTGACCAGTCTGGATAGTGCCTCTGAGAAATGCACGACTGAGGTTCAGACAACAGAGCAAGCAAGAGAAAAGTGGCACCTATTTAGCTTTTGGGGCAGTCTCCTCATGGTTTTTACTCCTCTGCAAAGCTCACAGCAGCAGCACAGAGGACCCTCCAGAACCCAAGGCCTGTATGCTGGATGTCAGAGAAAAATGATGTTCTGCATAAAGCAGCCACACCGCAAGGATCCCTAGGGGAAAGAGGGGCTCAAGGTACAGCCAGTGATCAGGCCACTTGAAGAGTAGATGGCCAGGGCTGGAGAACTTGGGGGAAATGTCTCCATCTCAAAACATGTCATCCTTAAGAGAAACATAACTAGGGTGGCCCGGTGAACCATCTGAGGGTGGGAGGTGAACACCCCAATCCCACGATGATGGCAGTAACAACATCCATCATCAGTGTGGCTGTTGGGACCCATGGAAGAAGTGCCCGTGTGCCAGCCACCATACTGGGTGTTTTCAAATGCGTGAGTCTTCATCCTGCAATTAGGGTCAAAAACTCACAAACTGATCAATGCTACCTTTCTGGCTATCACATTTTTTTTTCTGCCAAGGGAAGAAACAGGAATAAGCCTGTGTCTTGCATACCATAGGCTAGGGCTACAATGAAGGCTTGACCAGATCAAAATCTAGCTTCAAATTTCTGCTCTGTTGCTCAAATCACTGAGCTATGCATATAGAAATCCACCCACCAAACAAGAGAATCCAACACCAAACCCAAGAGAATGAAGTGACCTCTGACTGTTCTATAACACTCATGAATGACATCACAGGCTAAAGAGCAAGGTGCACAAAATCAGGAACTATAAATACTGGCAAAGAAGCTTCTTCAAATGTGCGTCAGAAGTTAGGCAAAGAAAGACAACTTATGGCCATAGATGCATGTCTGTGCCACTTACATACATCTCACAAGACAGAGCAGAATTGTTTCACAATGCTACCATTAAGAGACAGGACTGGGAGCCTCATTTCAGGTTATGAAACATACAGGTATGTCCAGGAGATTGTGAGCAGAGCCAGAGACCCTACACACTAAAGGCTGTGACGCAGGCAATGCGCTACCGTTGTATATGCTGCAAACTCTTCACTCTGACAAGTAATCATGGTGTGAGGAATAGGGAACAAGATAGGTCCTGGAGAAAAGGGAGATCTGCCACACCTGCCTCCAAAACAATTAAAAAGCAGTCACAGGCTCAAAACCCAAAAGCTCCTCTGGGTCCTAAACCTTCAAGGCATCACAGACCAAACAGAAACCAACCTACAAATGACAGGCTCAGAATTTCAGAACCATTTCTCTGCAGCTGCAGAGGCAGAGACTGAAAAAAAAAAAAAAGAAAAGTTTCTGTCTTGAAATGACATTTAAAGGTAGTATATAAATTGCTTCCTGTCTCTCTTCCTGAACCCCCCTTTTTCTCATGCTCCATCCGCTAATGAAAGAGTTTTCCTCTTCTCCTGTCTCTCTCTGTTGGAAATATGGCACAAGACAGGACCCTGAAAGGAAAAGCAGAGGGGAGGCTACTTTCAAACTGATACATACACACACCCCACTGGATACCCGCACACAGCTGGATCCACTGCCCTGACTCCTCCTAAGAAAGAACTGAAGGACAGAACTGTGAAAGAAAAACCTCCCCCTTGTGCCACCTCTCCAAAAGTAAAGTTAAGAAAGAGAAAGCTGGAAAGGAAGGAGGGGGAAAATAGAGTTCCACATTCCTGACATTTTTTAGCCAAGTGCTGTGGCTGCACAGAACAGCTCTACTCCAAACAGTCTGCATGACAGAAGAAAACCTGGGTTCAGGGGGAAGAACCTGGCCTTGGAAACAGAATGACCCAAAACTAAAGCAAAATGCGCGCGCGCACGTGTGTGTGTGTGTGTGTGTGTGTGTGTGTGTGTGTGTGTGTAGTTAGGGGGCTGGGTATTCCCAAAAGGAAGCGATCCCAAGGGAAGGAACTTGTAGTCAACCTCTCCCTGAAGACAGACAACTGAAGTCCTAGGGTTCCAAGGAAATGAATGCCCCCTGAACACTGCTGAGGGCTGAGATGGGCATGAAGGACTGTGACTGCCCAATGAAGGACTGTGCACTGGTACATGACATGGGGCCCAGCTCATTGACAAACTGTGCAGGGACCCCAGAAGAAGGAGTAGTGGTGGGGAGTGGGGGTCACTCTTGGTGGGAAGAATTATAATCGAGTTTTCCCCAGTCAGCTTCTGGATGAAGGAACTGTACCTAGCCTGGCCCAAAACAGAAAGTCAGGAGGCTACTGGCCCTGCCTTCCTCCTATTCCCCAGCACCTCCTTCTGGCCTCCTTCTAGGAAAAACTGTGTTAGGTTCTGGACTCCAACCCTCCCCGCCACATGCATCCCTACACATGCACACATATACCCACACACCCCTAGGGGAGAATGTGGAAGACCCTGCGTAAGATCCAGTCAGCCCTGTGCTAGGTTTTGAGGCACCTCCACATTCTATCCTCTTACGAGCCCCATTTTACTGAAGATGAAGTGAAAATGTTCACATCATGTCCAAGATGCTTATGTTGTTGTTTTGAGACAGGGTCTTGCTATGTAGTTCAGGCTGGCCATGAACTCACTATGTAGTCTTCAAACTCACAGCAATCCTCCTTGCCTCAGCCTTTCAAGCGCTGGGATTACAGGCATGTACCACCACACCAGGCTCTGCTCTCACTTGGTAGGAGTAGCAGAGTTCCAACCCCAGCCCATACACACACACACACACACACACACACACACACACACACACACACACACAAAGTCCCTATCTCTGCAGTCAGTTGGTGGTGGAAACAGTGAGGACCTATGTGCCCAGCACAAAACACAAGCCCTTCATACTGGAGGTTTGAGGCAAAGCCTGCTTATTCCTAGACCAGTCCAGATGATCCTATAACATCTCCAAGGAGATACCTGCCCTGTACATCCTGCACATCCAAGGTGCTACAGAAAGAGAAGCAGGGATGGTAGCCCTTTCCATACTCCCCAGTCCATTTCTAAGGGGGAGAGAAAGCAGCTGTGTTTGTTTTTCCTCACCACGGGCCTCTCTCATGCATCAGTACAGGGCAGAACAGTTCCTACCACCCTTCAACTTCCACAGACAGGCAGGTTTAATACATAGGTCTTTCCACAAGACTGGGGGGGGGGGGGGTGGGAGCGCGGGTGGTTATGAAGCTCAAATGCTAGGCGGCCTTTTCTTGCACACAGACATAAAGTCCTAGGCAATGTAAGAGACATGGCCAGCCCCAGAGCCAGTAGGTATGAGGTTTATGGCTGACACGTGTGTCTTTCCAGCCATACCCTCTAAACCTGGAGACATGGTACTGAGAGGCCACTTAGAATGGAGAACAGCAAACAGACACAAGGATATTAGCTGGGTAAAACAAATCCTTGGTTATTTCATTAAGCTACTATGGTTATAAATAATATCAGGGCTCTAGGAAAAAGAAACTGACTCTCCTACTGGTAGGAAACAGGTCTCTTTGGCTGACATGATCTTAGTTAAAACCTTCCTATGAGGAAAACAGATTTAACCAATGTCTTCAACAATGGGGGAACTGAGGCTGCAGTCCATTTTCAGGCGCATCAATGCAACAGAGAGTGGGACCCAGACCTATCCCATACATGACAGAGAGCCATGGAGTGGAGGAGGAGAAACACTGAACTGAAAGAGCACCGTCAAAAACAAATCAGGATTATTTCCGATACATCCTGAAGCCTAGGCAAGCCCACATGCACACATCCAACCCTCACCTGGCCACAAGAACATTCCCAGCTTGAGGGCAGCTCCACCAGCCAAGTAGGGCCCTTGTCATCTGTAACAAGGAGACAAGGAACCCAGCAACTGAGGGTCATGGAAGGAAAAATAAGTCCCACGGGAATCCTTCTTATCTACACCAGCTTGTAAATGGTTACAGCTTCCAGACATATCCCCCAGAAAGCAGATAACAACCTGCCCAAAGGAAGGCCAAGGAGTCCTCACAGAAGAACCAAACAGACTAGGGAAGCGTCACTTACACATCTCACTCTGAGACAAGGCAGACCACCTCAAACTCATTCCTGATTTCCTCCAGTTCTTCCAACTTCTGGGTAACTCACTTACTCTGTAGGAGTGCAGAGTCCTTCCCATCAGTCCCCTTGGATTTTGAACCCTAGCCTACTAGAGTTTCCTGTGCTGTGGCCTACACTGCTCTCTGAGAGGGATCCCATCCTCTGCCCCCATCCCTGCAGCTACAGTGGAGACTGTCCCTGTCCCTCTCCTCCACCCCGTAAATAGGGTGCAGCTCTGGGTCCGCCACACATGGACCTAATCGGACAGTCTACAAAGTGACATAGGGTTTCTCACAACTGGCCTTTTAGACCATGGTAAAAAAAGAGGACAGCAGAAGGCCAGACTGGGATGGAGCCAGGGCCACACGTGAATACCTGCAGCTCGGTCCGGAGGCGGCAAGGATGCAAACTACCAGAAAATGAGAAGGGAGATGGGAAAGGGCCAGGGTTCCGCCCCCTGGAAGAACTCAAGATAGCCGGTGGCCCCTACTTGGGGGGAGGGGGGTTGTGCAATGACTAGAGTCTGGGAGTCTCAGGGCTTGGCTCCCGGACGCCAGAAAGGAAGCCATACGCGTCGGGCCAGGGTGGCAGAGCTGCGGCTGGTTCGATACTAGGCTAGGGTTTCAGGGCTACAGCGAGCTGCAGAAATAAGGTGGGTGCCCGAGGGGGCGACAGAGCACGGCACCTCGTGCAGGGAGCTGAGCCGTGAGGTGCTCTCTGGGCTGACCTGAGGACAGGCCGGGGGTCACAGTGCACAAAGCCAGAGGCACAGATAACGTGCAAGGCACCAGACTCCCTGGCTCGGATGAGGCCTGGGGACCTAAAGGAGTGCGCGCCGCGGCGCACCAGCACCCCTCCCCAGTCCCGCTCACCTCGAACATAAGCCCGATGAGGACGCACAGCACCAGGCAGAAGCCGATGTCCGCATGGTTGTGGATGACGAACTCCTGGCTGAAAAGCGGGTAACTTTTCGTCCTCCTGCGGAAAGCCATGGCAGCGGGCGCGCACAGCCGGCGGGGCCCGCACCCTGGCTCCCAGCGGCAGCGCAAACTTCCCCAGCCCCGGATCCGTCAGCCCCAACCCGCCAGCCCCGCGCCTCCCGCCGCCCGCCGCCCAGCACGGAACAACTTCGGGCCCCGCCCCCTTCCTCCGCCCGCTCCGCCCGCTCCGCCCCACCCCACCGCTCGGAGCCGGCCCCGGGCCTCAGCCCCCGCCCGCCGCCCCGGCTCTCTAAACGCGACTCCCGCGGCCCCGCCCCCGGGAGTTTAACCCTCGCGCCACCGGGGCCGCGCGGGAGGCTGCGGCCACGCTGCGGGCTTCCGGGCGTGACTCTAGTGTCCCCCGCTCCGCGCCCGCCCCGCGCCCGCCCCGCGCCCGGCCGCATGTCCGGGGCGGTGCTCAGCCCACCGCGCGCGCCCCTCCGGACAGGAAGTGGGCCCAGACCCGCTCCGCGCTCCCGCTCCTCCTCCGCGGGAAGGACCGGAGGCCGGGGCCGGATATGCTGGGGAGCCTGCGGGGGGCTGAGGGCGGCGCGGGGTCGCGGGAGCTGGGGACCTCGGGCGGGCCTTCAATTGGCCGCCGCGCCTGCACTGTCGATGAATGAATGGGCAGCCAACCCAGCCCCGCAGAGCTGGCTGTAGGCAAGGCGCGGCTCTGGTGTTGCGCTGTGCAGCCAGCAACAAAGGCCCTACCCCAGGGCCGCTGCGTTCCGCTTCGGGGAGAGCGAGGAGGCCTGCGGTTGCCCTGTGACCTGGGAGACCCGCATCAGTCTATGCATGCTACCAGGAATTTGTGCTCCAAGTCTCACCCCAATTCTACCGTCAGTGCCAGGTGATCTGAAGAAGTGTAGGAATAAACACTACAGAAGAAAAAGGAAATGTCCTCATTTTTCGTTTCTTTTTTTAGTATTAAGTCTTAAAAGTACTCCTGGAAAAACAAACGGACTTTTTAATCATTTATATTGGCAAATAGTGAATTTAATCCTACTTGTAATGAAGGAGCCAACTAACCCATTTCTAGATGTATAGAAATGCAAATGAACGAAGAAGTATTTAATTTCTATTCCTTTAAAAAAAAATAGTTCCACGCTTATTCTTCTAAGTAAATATAACTCTTAAAAATGACAGTGTCTGAAATGTGACCAAGACTGGATGGAGTTCCTAGAGAAAGTTTGCTTCCAAACTCCACATTGTTCTGTGCGCATTTAGCATACAGTCTTAGGTCTTTAATTCCCCTATCGGGCTCTCAAGGAAATTAAAACGTACAGTAATGCCTATGTTGAACTAAATCTCATTAAACCTCAAGACTTACTTTTCTTAAAATTGGCCCTTAGCCTTGTGAGGAACAGAAAGATCACTGATTTTGGAGTGATTTTCTGTGAAGAGCTGTGTTCAAATTTTCAACTGGCATCCTTGTCAATTAGGTTGAACCCTAAGAAATTTGTTTCTTTATAGGTCAAAACTGTGGAATCCCAGTTTTCAGAATGTTTCAAAGTAACATTTCCTCCATAACAACCTATAGATAATAATGGTGGTGGTAATTTCCTGCATAAGGTGGTATGTTGTCAGTTTCTTCAGGCCCAAGGTCCTAGAAAATAAGTATTAATATCCAACACGTTTATAAATGAGAAACCTGAGGTAAGGGGCTGGCATAGACATTGGCATGCTGCTGACAACCAGTCTGACCTTTGAAGTATAATGAAACAAGATTCTAAGAGGCATGGTTTGCCATTTTAAAGCCCAGGGAGGGGGTACTAGATGCCTACTTCACCCATCATTGATATCTCTTCAAGTTCAAGTTCCCAAAAAACATTTCAACCCATATGATTGGTTAACTTTCCCAGGACTTTTAGCCTAAACTTGCAATGCTGAAAAATTGACAACACCTCACCTCTTGGAGAAATTTCCAAACTTTTCCTTTCAATCACTGAGTCCCATGAATTCTTTTTTTTTTTTTTGGTACCAGGCATCAAACTCAGGACCTTGTGCTTGCAAAGCAGGCAACGGAACCACTGAGCTAAATCCCCAGTGAATCCCATGAATTCTTACCTCAGAATCTTTCCCACCAACCACTACTTCCACCTTTCTACATGTACCCCACACAAGTTACCCATGGATCCCATTGTTTACAGTTATCTCCCTTTCACATTCATTCCATTAAGAAATGTCTGTGGCACACTTACTATGTACCAGACACCATGCTAGTTGTAAGATATTAAGATACAAGACAATCCATATGTGGTCCTCAAATTCTTTGATACTTCTCCCTCCTCTTCAAGAACTGGCAATTCATTCCCTTTCCCATGAGTGGGGGCTGGAGTTGGTGGCTCACTGCTAACAAATAGACTGTGGTATAAATGATGGTGTGTGACTGTTATGGCTTGTGTTTCAATGTCCCCCCTAAAGCCTCATGTGGTCATAGGTGGGGCTTTTTTAGAGGTGACTGGATCTAGAGTATGTAATTTTAGAATTGATTCATGGTACAATGCTAGGCTCAAGGGCACTAGGATTAAGGGTGTGAGTGCCACCCACCCTAAGTAGTCTGAATCAGATAAAAAGGACAGAAAGACTCTGTTCGGGTCCCTTGTTGCTTTTGCTGTCTTCTGAATGCAATGAACTGTTTCTTCTCTGTGACACGGCTCTGCCATGTGCCACTCTGCCTTGGAGCCAGCCAACTATGAACTGAAACCTGTACAAACCGTGAGCTAAATAAACCTTTCCTCCTTTAACTTTGGGTGTTGGGTATTTTGTCTCAGCAACAAGAGAAAAGTAACTAAGACTGTGACTTCCAAGACTATTCTACAAAAGGCATTTGGGGTTTCTCCTCTCTTTCTCTTAGATCACTATGGAGGAAGCCATGTGCCACATTGTGAGAATACTTGAGGTCCTGTAGAAGGGTTCACATAGCAAGAGGTGAGGCCTCCTGTCAACAGCCTGCACCAATTTGCCAAATATGAGAGGGAGGCCATTTGGAAGCAGTTTCCATCCCCAGGAAGCCTTCAGATGACCAGCCCAGACTGATCTCTTGACATCTTCTGACACTCTACACCAGAACAAACCAGACCTAAGCTACTTCCAAATTCCTGACCTGTGGCAACCATGAGATAATAAATGTTTGCTGTTTTAAGCCACTAGAGTTTATGTTTTGATATGTAGTAAGAGGAAACTAATACACACTGATGGAGCTTGTAATATTTTCAAAGAAACAAAGACATTACAATTTGGTGCAATGATGGTGACTCTTAAGAACAATTAGAGAAGTGTACACTGTAAGTACAAAGAAAGTCAGTTCTCTCTAATGTGTAGGGAAGAGGATATTTGGGCTGAGCCTTTATCTGACAGATTTTGCTAGTACAAAGAATGTAGAATGAGTTTTGAATGCCATAAGAAATATGACTTTATTCTAAAACAATGGGAAGGAATAGATAATTTTTAAGCATGACTAGCTTTGTCTTTGGAGGAAAACTATCAGGAATGTGGAAGATCACTTTGACTTAAGTACAATGATGTCAAGAAGATCACTTGGGAAACTATTACAACAGTTCAGCAAAGAAATGAGCACTGGGGCCAGGGATTTAGCTCAGTGGTTCTGCCCCCTGCCTTTCAAGCACAAGGTCCTGAGTTCAATCCCCAGTATCAAAAAAAAAAAGAAAGAAAGAAATGAGCACTGGCCGGGTGTGTTAGCACACGCCTGTGATCTCAGCTCTCGGGAGGCTGAGGAAGGAGCATTGCTGTGAGTCTGAGGTCACCCTGAACTACATAGGAAGACCCCTTCTCAAAAAACAAAGTCTTAAAAGTAAAAGATAAGTGTATTATTTTAGACGTTTCAAGGATTAGACAATTAGATTTGATGACTGCTTAAATATATGAGGGAATTGAATGAATAAAAATTTTAGGATAGGATGGCATAAATGATGGTATGAACACTAAAAAAAGTGTATGTGTATGTGTGTGTATACACAAAGATAATATATATATATATATATATATGTATATATATGGGGGGAGTGGCTTTAAACAAGCTGGAGTTGCCAGTGTGGTGGTACATGCCTGTAATCCCAATGCTTGGGAGGCTAAGGCATGAGGATCACCGCAAATTTGAGGACTGCCTGGGATACATAGTGAGTTCAAGGCCAGGCTGAACCACATAGCAAGAGCCTATCTCAAAAAACAAAAAGCAAATCAAACAAACACACACAAAAAAACCAAACTGGGGTTGAGGAATCACAGAACATTCAAATCCATACTTGGACAATTTATTTGGAAACTACTGGGGAGGGAAAACCAGAGCTAAAGCTATTTGTGGCTCCTCTTCAGTGTGACTGTTGAAGCTATAGCATTAAATAAGTGTTCCTAGGTGAGAGAAAAAGCCTGAGGTGAGCATAATGCTAGTGAACCCTAACACTCAGAAGGGAGAGAAAGAGGAGGAGGAAAGAAAGAGTGGGTGGAAAGGCATGACACAGGCATTGTAGAAGGGTGAGTTAAATGAGACAGGACAAGAAGATGAAGACCCTAGATTCATCCACCAATGGGTTTTTGTTTGGTTTGGTTTGGTTGGTTTTTTGTCAAGGGCATGCTTTGTTCCAGGCTGACCCCAAACTCTTGATCTTCCTATCTGAGCCTCCCAAGTGCTGGAATTACAGACATGTGTCACCATGCCTGGCTTACTAATGACCTCTGAGTGACCACTTTTAATTGAACATTGGAATAGACTTAACTCTGGGCAGAAGATGAGAAAGAGGTAGGATAGTAGTCTTTTTTTAAAGAGGTTTCATAAGAAAGGGGAAAATGAAGAATGGTGTTTTGAGGAATCTTGAAGACCTAAGAAAGGATTTCTAAGTTGTATTTAATTTTTGAGATTGGAATATGTTTGGAGATACAGAAGAATAATCCAGGAAAGAGACAAGGGAAGATACTGCAGGTACTACAAGTGTAGGAGGACACTGGTGAGGTCAAAGGGGAGGCTAAAGAGCAGCTCCACAATAGAACCAAGACACAAACTCTGAGACAGGCACAGGACCTAAGAATGGGTAAATATCTAGTTACATCTGGAGGTGGAAGAAATAATAACCCACCACATTTATACTGCACTTTACAGTTG